TCTACATGGAGAGTTGGAGGAAGAGATATACATGACTCAGCCGGATGGTTTCCAAGTTCCAGGGAAGGAAAATCACGTCTGCAAGTTGAAGAAGTCCTTATATGGACTTAAGCAGTCTCCAAGGCAGTGGTATAAAAGGTTTGACAGCTATATGGTGAAGTTGGGCTATACTCGGAGCTCATATGATTGTTGTGTCTACTACAATAGGCTCAATGATGATTCATTCATCTATCTGGTGCTTTATGTAGATGATATGTTGATAGCTGCAAAGAAGAAGTATGACATTCAGAAGCTGAAGGGTTTACTTAGTGCTGAGTTTGAGATGAAGGATCTGGGAGCCGCTCGGAAGATTTTAGGGATGGAGATCATTAGAGACAGAGAGAGAAGGAAACTTTTCTTGTCACAGAGAAGCTACATTCAGAAGGTCTTGGCGAGGTTTGGTATGTCTTCATCTAAGCCCATTGATACCCCCAGTGCTGCCAATATCCATCTCACTGCCATGTTCGCTCCACAGTCAGAAGAAGAGAAGGAGTATATGTCACGAGTCCCTTATGCCAGTGCCGTAGGAAGTTTGATGTATGCTATGGTCTGTACAAGGCCAGATTTAGCACATGCAGTCAGTGTAGTGAGCAGATTCATGGGACAACCAGGGAGAGAACATTGGCAGGCTGTGAAGAGAATTTTCCGGTACCTTAGAGGTACATCTGACGTTGGTCTCATTTATGGAGGTGATACTCAGTGCTTAGTTACTGGCTATTCTGATTCAGACTATGCTGGAGATGTTGACACAAGAAGATCGATGACTGGCTATGTGTTTACCCTTGGAGGATCTGTCGTCAGTTGGAAGGCAACTTTGCAACCTACAGTGACTTTGTCTACTACGGAAGCGGAGTACATGGCCTTGACAGAGGCTGCAAAAGAAGGGATTTGGTTGAAAGGGCTGGTTAGTGATCTTGGTCTGCATCATGATCAGGCTACGGTGTATTGTGACAGTTTGAGCGCAATTTGTCTAGCCAAGGATCAAGTCCATCATGAGAGAACCAAGCATATTGACGTAAGGTATCATTTTCTGAGAAGTGAGAAGAGAATCAAGGTGAAGAAAGTAGGAACTGCTGATAATCCTGCTGATATGTTTACAAAGCCGGTTCCACAGAGCAAGTTTCAACACTGTTTGGACTTGCTCAACATCAGAAGCTGTTAATTGCCCTGCGGGGCAACTCTGAGGAAGAGGGGGAGGCTTGGCACTATCATAGTGCGTCTGAAGAATCTGTTCGGAGAATTCAAGTCAAGGTGGAGATTTGTTGAATGCCTTGAATCGGACCCGCTACAAACAGAAAGGACGGGGGTCTCGCTGCCCGGTCAGCGAGTCGGGGGGTCCAGGGGGGCGACGCGCCCCCTGGCCTGGGGTCCGCCCCCGGCCCGACGGTATACAATGTTGTTGTATTGGGCCCTTAATTTTCTGTTGATTCTGTATGTTGGGCCCAAGCCTGTTAGGGCGTAGCTTAGCACTATATATAGACGCTATGGGAAACCCTATTCTGTAATTCTGTTTTTGCCTCTCCATAATAAAACTGCTCCCTCTCTTCCCGTGGACGTAGCCAATTTATTGGTGAACCACGTAAACTGTTGTCTTGTTTTTTGCGTTTATATTTTCTCGTATTATCTCGAATTCCGCACAACAAATGAATCTAGGAGGGGTAGAGGGTAGATAATCGAAAATGATGAAAGTATATAAAATGACAAACTCTGAATTTGTCTTCCGTTAATAAATTAGACACGGGTCCGAATATGATTAATTTAGTTTTAGTTCAATCCATTTTTATTTTTTTTTACCTTTTTAATATTGTTATCTATAATTATTTGGGGGATAGTTTTTATTAGTTTTATATGATTTTTACATACCTTCCATACATCTTAGTCTCAGCTGGGGTAAGTGATAATTCGGAGCCGCTACAATTTCTATCCTTCGGGGTGAGCATGCAAATCACGTAGAGAATGTAAATCGTATTAAGCAAATTCTATGCGACAAACTCGACTAAAAAGGCATTGAGGAGAAATTAATCCCGGATCATTCATGTGGATAACCGCTCTCCAAACCAACTGAGTCCTTTGAAAAGATTGTTTTACTTGTCTAATCATTATCTTTTCACTTAGATTTGTAAAATTTCAAATTAGACTTTGGCTTATTGCTTATTTGCAATAAAATTCAATTTCATATCGCCTAGTTTTTACTTCATTAGTTACAAACAAATACTGAGTGCTGACCTTATTTGTTACGTTTAAATCCCCATATAATTTGTAAGATTTGGCTGCGGCCTATATTTGTGAACCTCGAAAGGTGTTTAATACCTTTTTTTAAAAATAACTTGAACTCTTATTGATATGAAAACGTTTCGTTAAAAGTTGCAGTAGTTTTCTTATTTATGTTTATTAATACGTCTAATTTTTATTAATATAATATTGTTATGTTTTTTATTTTAAATGTCGACGCCACTTACACAAAATTCTGTATACGCTACTGGATGAACCTTATTCAAAATTATATTTTGTTTGGATGGTGGCGTAGAAATTGAGTCATTTAAACCTATGGAAAGCTTTATTGAATCACTAGTTTGTGTAAAGGTGATATATAGCAGCAAAATAATAAAAGATTCACTTAGAAAGAATGTGACATGAAAAAATAATTTAAAATAAAATGATGAAAGAATCTAAATAAGTCATGAATACCCCGTTCATCAAGTCTATGAAAGCTATAGGCCAGGGGCATTTGATCAAACAAAAAAACCATCGGTAAAAACTCATAATGTTTATATCGAATTTTACAAGTTGTCTTATGAAAATCATCTTCAAACTGGTGATACTTGAATCTCAAGTCAATCTTATAAAGATTGTAACACCTTGAAGTTGATCAAATAATTGATATGACAATATATACTTCTTCTTTGTTGTCACCTTGTTCAACCATTGAAAGTGGTGCTTATTGAAAAAGTAAAAATGAAATGAATAAGCATGTTCACAAATAATTTTTAATAAAAAATATATTGATAAAATGAATTAATTGTACATAAGTAAATTATAAAAGAAAAAGACCAAAATGCACTCGATGAGATGATACTCAATATTCACCAAACGATTTTCATTTTACAACCCTCCTTTCATGCAACTTCATTATTGAAAACACAAACCATGCATATAACCATGCATAAGAATCAGTTTTAAAGGGAGAAAGTATATGTCATGCAATATGTGATTTTCAAGAGAAAAAAATAATAACTAGAATTAGAATAAAGAAATCTCCTCCTTTCTCTTTTTTATCTCTATATCTCTTTGATCCAAAAAAGTGATTTTGAAATTTCCAAAATAGAAAAAAAAAATTAATCATTTTGAATGGAGAAAATTAGAAAAGCATATGGCAAGCTTAAAGATTCAACAAAGGTTGGCTTAGCCAAGGTCAAAAGTGAATTCAAGGTTTGTAATATATACATAAAAAATATTTTGTTTTCAGAATGCGCGTTAAAAAGAAAAATTAAAGCTAAGCTAAATCAATGTGTATTTCTAGATGGATGATCTTTTAATTTCTTGTTTTTAATTGAAGGATTTAGATATTGCAATTCTCAAAGCAACCAATCATGTTGAGAGCCCTCCAAAAGAAAGACATATTGCAAGTGAGTATATTATTCAAGATCTCTTGTTTATACTCTTTAAATTTGCCAAATTTATATATTTGTGATCATCTATATATACATCCAAAATGAGGTTTCATTTGTAATATTGTTTGCCTATTAGTCACTACCAGAAAAATGTGAAATACATAGGGCTTTTCCTAAAAATAAATATGAAAATTTATAGAAAAATAAGTTTTAAAATTCTCATGTAACTCACAGTTTTTTTTTATTGAATCCTTGAGGCATTGCCAATAATATTAATGTCTCTTTCTCCTATCATGGACATCTTAATCATTTTTGGTTTACTATTCTGAATACGGGATATAACAAAAATATGGTTATTTCTTAACATTTCAGGAATTATTGTGGCAACATCAATTACATGCCCAAGAGCAGATGTTGCCTATTGTATTCATGCACTTTCTAAACGATTGTCAAAGACACGAAATTGGATTGTAAGTTCTCTTACCTAATTTACTAACTAGTATTATTTATTGAATCTTAAACAATAATAACTATGCCTCGATCCCGAGCAATATGAGATCGAGTTCATGAATATCCTCATTGATCATGTTGTCACTATATCTAATCTCATTTTCATACAATATTTTTCACAGGTTGTCGTAAAGACATTGATTGTTATTCATAGGGTGTTGCGAGACGGTGATCCTTCATTCAAAGAGGAACTATTGCGATGCTCCCAAAGAGGGCAGATTTTTCAACTATCAAACTTCAAAGATGATTCAAGTCATCTTGGTAATCTTATCGTGTATCATGTTTTCATGGTTATAAGTAGGGTGAAAAGTTGATATACTTGACCTCGTCTAATATCTATGTCCTCGGACAATCCTGGTGTGTGTGAGTAGAAACTTAAACTTGTACAGAGTTGAACAAGTACACACACGTTCTATATGATAATTCACATCCTATAAGTGTCCTACGTGTTTATGTCATGTAAGACTCACATGTCTACATGTTCAACTTTATACGAGTTTAAGTGTCTATTTGTACCCACATTCTATATGACAATTTACATCCTATATAGTGTCCTACATGTTTATGTCATGTAATACTCATGTGTCTATTTGTTCAACTTTATACAAGTTTAAATGTTTATTTGTACATAACCAGAGTTGAAGGGCATAGATTCCAACTGAGGTCAAGTTAAAGGCCTTATTTCAGATACCTTAGTATTGCAATTGTATCGTATTTTAAACACAGGTTGGGATTGCTCAGCTTGGGTACGTACGTATGCACTCTTTCTGGAGGAAAGACTAGAGTGTTTTAGGACAATGAAAAATGATATTGTTGCAGAAAGATCAACCAAACCTTCAGTTGGAATAAGCAAGGTGCATTTTGTTAGTCATCTGCATATTTTCATGTAAGATACATAATGTAAACAATGTAGATAACCTGAGTTTCACATCAGGTTCATTGTAGAACTAGGATTTTGAATGCCGAAGAACTTCTAGAGCAGCTCCCAGCATTACAACAACTTCTTTATCGCTTAACTGGTTGCCAGGTAGTAACAACCTTTGCTGTTTTAGCCGCGATAAGCTCATTGCTATTCCAGTTCTCTGACTATCATCGTTTTCACTGGTGAATTTTGCAGCCTGAAGGAGGAGCTTGTTATAACTTTCTCATTCAGTATGCCTTGGCTTTGGTATAGAAATACTACTTTTACCAGCTCAAGAAATGGACCATGTCGGAAACTTACTCTAATTGTTCTTTTTGTAGGTGTTGAAGGAAAGTTTCAAGATCTATTGTGCAATCAACGATGGGATAATCAATCTTGTCGACTATGTATGATGCTCCTCTCGTGTCTTTGATATCTCCAGCTCATTAACCATTGCTGTTTTTGAACTTAACTTGCTACTTCATGTTTCCTGCAGTTTTTTGAGATGTCAAAGTCTGATGCGATAAAAGCTCTCAGTATATACAAAAGAGCTGGACAACAGGTTGATAAAATTCATTTCTTTTGGATGTTCTTACTTTTTACAGATATGGTGTTAACATATCTAAGTTTCTTCTCTTTTTTTTTCTCCACTAAATGTAGGCTGAACATCTCGCTCATTTTTATGACTTCTGCAGAGGCTTGGATGTAGTGCGTACCTTTCAGTTTCCTACATTGAAACAGGTCTTTTTTCCTCACCCTTTTGGATAATGTATAATCTTCATGAATTACGTTTCGTTTAATCTCTCTTCATTCTTGATCTTTAACTTGCAGCCTCCTGCATCGTTTCTGGTAACGATGGAGGAATACATTAGAGAAGCATCTCAAACGGATTCAATGCCCAATAACAGGCTGGTGAGAACGTAGTTATACAATGCGGTCACATATAACAGGCTGGTGAGAACTTAGCTTCATCGATTTGGTTATAGTGTTTGCCTTTGTGACCTGCAGGAGTATCGAGAAACCAAGCAGAAACCTGAAAAGCCTGAAGAAATTGTTGCCGAGGCAAGTGAAAACAAAGTTCCAGATGCTAAAATTAGTGAAGTAAAAAATACTGAAGAACAAGAGGAAACAGTACCTAAAAAGGAAGAAATACCACCACTGATATCAACAGAAGAACCTGTTGATTTGCTGGTATGCATTTCGAATTCACTGGGGACAGACGAAATCTTTGTTCATGGCTCGTGTCTCCTTCTTTCGTGTGAAATAATAGTCTTGATCAGAATATTTTTCATCTCTGTGGACAGGGCTTGAATGAAGTGGATCCAAGAGTTGCAGAATTAGAGGAAAGCAATGCATTGGCTCTAGCAATCGTTCCACCTGGTAATACACACAACTTGTGTAAAGCAAGAGGGTGATTCTATTTTAATAGTTGATGTATTTGAGATATTATACAGGCAAAGGAAATCTATCAACAAATAATCAAGTAGGTGAAACCGGAAAATCATCAGGATGGGAATTGGCTCTTGTTACAGAACCGAGTAACAATAGAAGCCAAATCACACCAGATAAAGAATTGGTATGTCCTATTCATTCATAAACTTCCAGAACTGTGAGCATTGATTTCATCGTTACTTTACCATGGTTTTTTTATCAGGCTGGGGGATTCGACAAGCTATTACTTGACAGCTTGTATCAAGACGATGCATCTAGAAGGCAAATACAGCTGCAACAAGCAGGGTATAGTGCAGGATATGGGTATGGATATGAAATACCTGGACAGAGTTCAGTCAATCACAATGACCCTTTTGCAATGTCAAACCACATAGCCCCTCCAACAAGCGTACAAATGATGGCGCAGCAACAACAACAATACCAAATGATGCAACAACAACAACAATATCAAATGATGCAACAACAATACATGATGCAGCAGCAGCAACGACCACAACAAAATATGTCGATGGTACATCATCAATATCAAGGCCAATATTCTCAACAAACCTGGTATATGGGATCTTCCAACCCATTCGGGGATCCCTTCAGTCATCCACAAAACAACATGCCACCACGGGGAAACCATCCATTGATTTAGAGGTCGTTTTTCAATAAGAATATCATATTCTTTCATTCTCTTTGGCTAGAAGAATTCTCAATCTCCTTCAAAAGTTATTATATTTAACCAGTCATGGTTCTCCTTCTCATTGATTATTATATCACACACTGTTAGATTTGTTTTCTATTAGATCTACCTGTCCTTTTAACCAGATATCAATATAATTACATACATATAGAACACGAACTACATAGAAAACAGAAAATTGTTATCATATGATTTCATACATTTCTTAATTGTATGAAAAAGTTGAAATGACATTTTGAGACACATTCATCAAGTACTTCTCAAAAGTTGTGCTGCATTCACTAATAATTTCCATGTCCAGTCCAGTCCACATTGACCATACAGTAACAGCATAGTCAAGACGAAATTCTGGGAAACTTCCTCATGAGCAGAGTGGAATCCTATTAGCATCCAAGCATTAGTATCATGTACTAAAGGAAAAAATTATTTGCATGATTACTGCTTCGAAAAATTGTATATTGGGTCCTCCTCTACGTCCTTAAAGCTCCAATTCTGCTGGGTACTTGTACTATCAGCAGTAGATACGTGTAAGACCTTTTTATGGTATTTGTAGAGGGTTCTACGGTGGCCAATACTTATATACGTGATTCCTGCAGCTTGGATTAGCTGATATAGACGTGCCTGCAGAGACAAAGTACAACAAAGGTTTTTCTATCATCTCCGGTTATTTAGAAGCAAACACAAGGGAACAAGAAATAATAAATAGAGTGAAGAATTGGATATGCCATTTGATTGTCGAAACAAAGTTCAACGTTTTGAGAGGAGAGATAGCAACAAATGTTCATATGGTAAAATTTGAGGTTTCATATGTTACTACAGAAGATCAAATGATTTTCAAATCTTGACTACAATTGAAGTGCATCTTGACCTAACAGTGCTTCAGATAGAAAAATTTGAAGCTTAACAGACCTAGCAGCATTTCAAAGGACAAGAGGAGGTGGAGTGTTTACCTATCATGGAGCGGAACACAAGCCTTGAGCACGGAGCAAAAGCCCACAACCTTTTTTTTTATATATTAAGAAATAAAACTAAATTTGAAAATAGCAAATATATAAAATACAAACAAGGCAAATGTACGACCTATGCTAGCATTAGCCCAATTAAACTTTTACTTCCCATAGTTGTCTAGGGACTCGGGCACTTCAAGCTTGCCTCACACCAAGGAAAGCTCATGAGTTCTCAACTTCCCTTTTTAAAACGTTGGAATGAGGTACTATAAACTTTGTGACTTATTAAGCCTGTATGACTAGTGACTAGCAAGATTTATTTGTATATGATTCCAGCCTGTATGGACAGATACCTATACCCCAGAAAAGTGAAGTGTACTAATCTGAAGTATGAATGAATACAATCCACATGACTAAATGAACTACAAAATAGGACAGCAAACAAAATAGCATCTGCAAATCATTAAATTACCTCATTGGCTTCATCAAGAGCACTAGTAGACTCATCCAACAGAGCCAAAGTTGGTTTTGAAAGCAATAAGCGGCCAAAGGCAAGGCGCTGTTGCTCGCCAAGGGATAGAACGCTCGACCACTCATGTGTTGAATCTAGGCCGTCAAAACGAGATAACAAGTGTCCAAGGGATACATCATTGAGAACTTGTAGTAGATCCTCTGATGTAGGCTTCTTTGATCTATCATTCACACACCTTGCATCCCGTGCACGCATCAAGAATGGCAAAGAATCTGTATATTGTCAGTTGGAAAAATTCACCAGATAGAATCTTTAAATAGTATTCTTCCAATAGGTAAAACGACTTGGGAGCACCACATAGAAATCTACACGCAAGTATATTTAGGAATCGGATATAAAGCAGTTCACATTGTATAAGAGCCAAAAGAAGTGAATCAAAGAATAACTAAGCAGCAAGTGCCAACAGAGATGAGCCATATGAGGAATGACAACCTGTAATGAGACTGAGAACCTATAAGGCGTAACAATGGCATAAGAAAATGATGGCAAGCTATGGATCATTAGATGTCATACCAGTTTGTTTAGCATCATCTGACAAGTTATCTGAATCTTCGGTCCATGTAGGATACAACAACTGTTGTCGAAGGGTTCCCAAAACCATATATGGTTTTTGAGGAAGAAAAATTACACCTTCGGAATTTCTACGTCCTGCGGAATCCCCTATGGTCTCATTAGTTGAAGCCACTTGATGAGAAACTACATCTGGAGAGTGCAGCATTTCCAGGTCTCCTCTGGGTCGGACATAAACTGTAATTGCTCCATTCCCGAAACTCCAAAGACCAGCTATCACTCTCAGCAATGAAGTTTTACCACTTCCACTTGGTCCTGTAACCTGTGAAAAGAACCATTAGCAGAAACATTTGAAAGGGAGATTGGTATTCATCTAGGGGCAAGGAAGCTGATAAACACCCCTTCTGTCAAAGGGAGAAACACCTCTAAAACTGGAGTATTTGTTCCATGCACGTTTTACACCTTGAGCTATTTGCTTAATACATCCCAAGAACGCCTATTCACGCTTAATACCATAGATTGTCCACTTCTTTCCCATAAAACAACTTTTTCAACTTCCCCCATGTATAATATATTGTATTGTTCATACATTATATTGTTAAATAAGAAGTTGGAGACTTTGAATAGTATTATGTGCACATCATATGTCTAGATGGTTAAATCGATCATTGTATCTATAATTTTTTTCAAATGATCTTTTGCTTACCAAATTCCTTTTAGGTGCAGATGAATACAATTCTTCTCTTAATGGTAGAACAAAAAATAGCAAAGGATCACTCATTGCCTTAAGCAAGTCGCAGAGTCGTAGACTATTGCTTTAAAGACAGGATGGAATATTAACAAACAAATTTGTTGACCTTATATGCCATGCTTCAGGACTTGCATTCTGCCTGTGATGTGTAAATATGCATCACCCTAGGCCTCCCCTCCTCTTAATATATTAATTGCCATTAACAGTACAATTTTTTCCTTTCCCTAATAAAGCAACAAATGACATAAAAGCTGAAAGTGGACATGTCAGAACTCACCAGCAAGTGATCCTTCTCAAATATCTCAAAAGACAAGTCCTTAATTAGAGTTGCTTCACTTGGTGTCTGTACAGTCAAGTGTTCAACATGAAGTAATTTTACACGATTGGAAAGAGGCATAGATCCATTCGAGTGTAGCCCATTGGAAGAACTTATTAAGCAAAAGTTAAGCTGGATCTTTTCGTTGGAGTCTTGATCACCTTTTTTGCTGTTGCTATCCAAAACATCATCAAATTCACCTGCACATTTTTAAAGGTGTCAAAATGGTTTGCTGAATGCTTATTACTGCTTTAGGGCAGTGGGTCATGTTAGATGGAAATAGCAAAACTTGGAAACTAAAAGAAGAAACAAAGATGAAGAAAATAAAATTTCAGGTAAGAAATGATTGAAAAGTCATAGAACTTATAACATAATATGACAAGAGAGGAGATTGCATTTAACATCCTCTCTCAAGAATCTTATAGTGCAAGCAATTATAGCTTATATATATTAACTACTGAAGACAGTACGAGCTTAGCTTCTTTTATTCAAACATTTTAGTTTTCCTATTCCCATATTACCTTCATAGTATATCATAACCATGATATGTGCAATCCCAGTAATGATTCAAGATTTCTTCTTGGATTCAAGCATAAAGTTTGATTTACTAGGCATTTTCCTCAGCACTAGTTCTCGATTCTTAATATAAGACTTCCCCACCAAATAGTCCGAAATTGCTAATTAAAAGCATTTAGCCACATTACTAACATCGTTAATGTCATCATTTTTGCATTCCCAGAATTGAAGGCATCCACTTTCTGCTTTAGCGCAAAAGCAAGCTGGCAACGCTATCAATTTTCTGTACCTTAACCTAGTTGTGCAGATATTAGGGAAAAGGCTCAAATATGCTATCGAACTTTAAGAAAAGGCTCATCCATGCTATCCGTTAAAAGTTGGGCTCACCTATGCCACAGTCGTTCAACAAAGTGACCACTCATGCCATTATTTTTTAACGCTCCGGTTTGATGATTTTGCAAAATCATTTTTTCGATGTGGCCTCTTATCAGAGGTTCACGTCACCAAAATTAAACCAGCCAATATTAATTATGCCCTATCAATACTTCTGCTTGAGTATCTCTTCAGAGATGATGAACTAGGCAGAGATATTGAATCAGATTCCCCGTTGATGACCAATATCGGCACAAAATCTGCTAGTGGAAGAGACGGAGGATAAGGATTCTGAGGTGGCGGAGCAGTATGAACAACAAGTAGATCCAATGACTTCGACTGTGAATTTTTTGGACTTAAAATCACCAGCAGAGAAATGCTCAGCGATAAAGACCTAACTGGTGAGCCCGACGTGGAACTGGAAGACGAGTATGAAGAAGATGAGCTCAACCCACCAAAACTCTTCACCTCAATGGAGGCAAAAGCCCTACTGACGCCGATCCAGTTCCGATCAAACTTTCTCTGCCATCTAAGATTCTCTTGGAGAGTAAAACTCTTCATCATCTTCAATTCTACAGAAGATTACATCTGCATTCCATGATTTAGCCTCAAACTCTGTCCATGTAGTGGCGCCAATGAGTGCATCTCCAGCGAATCCATTTTTCTGAATCCGTGGCAGTACCAACAGTGCCTCCATTAATTTTGGCGGCGTGAACCTCTAATAAGAGCCCACATGGGAAAATGGTTTAAAACCATAAAACCAGCCCGTTAGAAAATAATGAGATGAATATGCCCTAAGTTGAACGGCAGTGGCATAAATGAGCCCAACTTTAAACGAAAGGCATAATAAGCCTTTTCTCAAAGTTCAATGGTATATTTGAGTCTTTCCCGTAGTTACAATAATAAAAAGGAAGAAATAAATGGCTTCAATAAGATTATATGTTGTTGTTACAAAACAATAGAACATAAATTCAAACTTGAATACATTGATGTGTTCTTAATTGAAATATCACATTTGAGAAGAAATCAATCATCAAACCGCAATGGATATTTTAAAAAAGGGACTGTTTGGTATCTTTAACGTCTAAGATTACTTCATCACTTAATAACACAAAAAAAATATTAATAACAGAAATGTTAGAGAAAACAAGACAAAATGGACAAGAAAAGAACTTTGGGCTACAAAGATTACTTTATCACTTAAGACAAACACAAGAAAAAAGAATTAATGACCAATCTGGAAACTACACAGCAAAGCCCAGTTCACAGTCAAGTCTTGCTACTGGGACCTCAATTCTGAACAGATAGCAACAGACAGAGACACAGAGCATTGGAAAGCAATGTGGAACGCCAAAAGTAAACCCTAAGGACTTGTTTTATTTGGCCAGTATGCAGGAAAGCTGGCCTCACCCATGAAGCACTACAAAAAAGAGGATGGCAGATTTGTTCCAAATGTTTTATGTGTGAACAGAAAGCAGAAGTCAACAGTCATTTGTTTCTCCATTGCGATACTGACACAAGCCTATGGAACCGTTTCTTGCGCATATTAGCCACTAGGAGTTAGCTGATTCATGCGCAGCCCAAGACAACCTTGGAGTTGATGAATCACTGTTCAGGAGTAGGCAAAAGAAAAAGAAGATTGGTGGAAGAGAATACCAGCTTGTATATGGTGGATTCTGAGAGAGAAAGGAATGATAGGTGTTTTGAAGATCAGAAAATCAACATACAGAAGATAAAGATGAAGTGTATAAGCCTTCTATTTTTTGGTGTAAACAAGAGTTGGTAGGGAGGACAGTAGATTTAGTTGATTTTAAAGGGAACTTGTAAAAGTACACAAACGGGGGTGGTGCTCACCACGCTCTGGGATGTAAGTTTCCTATTCATCACATTTTGGATGATGAACTTTTTGTGTGAATACAAAGTTACCCTTTTTCTCAAAAAAAATAAAAACAGAAATGCCTGAGAAAACAAGACAAATCGAGAAGAAAAGAAACATTGGGATAGAATTGCAGCTAGCATTTTGGGTAGGCTAGAGAGAAATCAAAGATATTTTGAAGGTAAAGATGTCCATATGCACACACATAGAACAAGCACCTATTTCTTTCAGGTTTATGGTGAAAAAAAATAGATGTATATGAAGTTATCGCTCTATCACAATCCCTCTCCCTTCATTTATAAAGAGACATTGAGCTTTTGCATCATCAGTACTTAGAACCTTCTTGGTGCTACTTCGGTGGAATAACATATCTTACTTGTGAAAAGAAAAAAGCAAAAGTACAGATCAAAAAACAACTAGGGAAATTGTCCTACTTCGGTGGAATAACATACCTTGTGAAAAAAAAAACAAGTACAGATCAAAAGACAACTAGGGAATTGTCGTGGGAAAATAAGAAGTTCATAATATAAAATGGATATAGTATCGCGAGTCCTTGCCCAAGCAGGGTTTGCAAAAACATAAAACGCATTGATTCAAATCTGCATCCAACTAGCTTTTAACCCTTATAACCCCAACTGTTTTGGTTCTACACAGCTGGGACACGCTAAAGCCTCATCAACCAGAAAAAAAGAGCACCTCAATCCCAGAAAAAGAAGTTGGGATCAACTATATGAATCATCAATATCCATCCTTCCATTTTGCCTCTCTCATTTCAACCCATATCAAATTGTCATGAATCATGTGACTCACCCAACCCAAGGGTAGTTAGAGTAGACCAAGACAAATGTTACATTTCCACTGTCTCATGTAGGATGTAAAAATTTCTGTGGGTGACAAGAAAGTAAGGAAAGACCTTTCTTATGAGAAGGTCAAGTTTCTCAAGTAACCTATCCCATGTTATCCGACATCTATGTAAAGCCTACCAGTAATACAAATTTTGGCAATTCCAAAGGTCAGAGTCTAGGTCTATTACAGTCCCTTTTGGCACTAACAGAAAAAACTAGTAACATTAGGCACTTGAGATGCTAATTGGGTTGGTCAGATAATCAACACAGCAAAATAAACTATGAAGAATGTAAACACAGTGTAATCAAAAAAATTCACGTCATATCAGCCAAGAAAAAGTCAAGATCCTTCACATTGCCAGATATTCACGTATATTCCCTCCCTCCAACAAAATGGATCGGCAGATGCTCCTCTAAGGGATTACATTTAATATCAGTATATTCAGTAACCTTTTCAATGTACTTGGAGAAGAATGCACCATCCAGAAATAACATACCTAGTCGGTCAATGACGGCTGAAAAGGCACTTAAAGCCTGAAACTGATAGACAATGAGAGAGAAATCACCAAGAATATGATTAAAAGCGGACACGGATTGATTAATAACCCCAAACTCGATTTTTCCAGAGAAGTACATAGGTGCAACAACTGCAGCAGGAAGAATTTGAATAAGATAGCGGTAGCCACTGGTGAAGAAATCCAGATTTCTAGAAGATATCAACAATTGCTGCCAAATTATCAAAAGCAAGAGAATCAATTTTAAAATTCACTACGAAAACAAATATAAAATTAAATAACATAAAGCACCAAACATTTTCAAAAGGCATCAACATGCATGAAAGAAAGTCAAAAACATTCAAAGGGAATACTAATATAAGGTATATGGAGTTAGTTTATTTGCTTCTGGTTAATTAGGGATGATGAGATTGCAAATATCATATAAAGACACAACTCAAATAGATCACTCCTTTGCCTGCATCACAGCGCATCTTTAAAAGATTTTAAACTACCCTTGAAAATGTGATCTACATAGAAAAAAAATCCTAGCTGGCAAAAACACAAGGCAATTAAAGGGTCAATATGGTGACAAGAAATCAGAATGCATCCTTTTGCTGAAGAAAAACTTGGAAGCATCTGTGTGCCCAGATAGAGAAGAAACACAGAGGATTCATACAACTCCCAATTAGTTCGGGAGTGAAGCACAGTTGATAGATGTGATAATGTTAAAATCAACAGGATAGATGTATTAATAATTGATAAATCCTTGGTGGGGATCAACTGCGAAGAGTCTCAACTTTTACAAATATGGACGTACTCTCAATTTTTTCATGTTAAACAAAATGGAACTTGCTCCCAACAAGATTATATAAGTTTAGACAAACTGAGATGAAAAAGAAAAGAACTTACAACTTCTTCACCTAATAATAATATTGGTCCTCAGACAAGCATTATTCAGTGTGTGACATAAAACAATTTTTTGCAACAGAATTAATATATTGAATCACAAATGTGACATGATATGCTTCAATGCAGGCAAAAACTGAGAGAGGTGTAGCACCAAACTAACTGTTAAGGCCTCCGTACATTAAGGTTTTCAAAAGCACTTCTGAAACGAGTTAACAGTAGTTGCATCTCATTCTCTTCCCCTCCATAAAATGCAATTGATTCAGCATTTTCTCGAACGCGCACAAGACCATAGCGGAAATCTGCTTCTTTCTTCTCTTGCAAAAAGTTGAGACTCACCAATCCCTGAATTAACCACAATTCCCATCATTTGTCGAATTCCGAAAGAAGTCTTGCAACTTCGAAGTTATCTTAATGATGTATTACTTTGAGGTTCAACAGAAATATGAAAGCAGAAAAAGCACCTTTCCAAGGAAGACGCTGAGAGCTGTTCCACCAAGTGAATATGCAAGAAGCACACCAAAAAGTGGTGGGTAGATACCGAATAAAATATTGCTGAAAGATATTAAGTCTATAGCAGCATTGAAGAGTGTCAATGAAAATGAGAGAGCTGTTCCTGTAAAGGAACTTAAATCGTCAACAATCCGCTGATCTGGATTATCGATGGTAGACTGTGACTGAATTTTGTAAAATGTCTTATTCTTCAGATACCGTTCCATGTAATAGCTTGTCATCCAAGACCTCCACCTTAAAGATAACTTCTCTCGTGCATAATCTCTCAACACAAAAAACTGCAAAATACATAAAGCTCAAAAACTAGAAAATGTACTACAAAAAGAAACTTGGAAATCACAAGACCTCATCCCGTTTAGTACACATGCACATGTACATAGTGATAAAAGGTAGTGCTCCTTCTAGAGAAAGTTTCAAGGTATACTTTTTACTGAAGGCATGATACCCTTCTAATCTGTACTATCACCACTGTGCCGTTGGCTATGAAATAGAATACCAAGTATCCAAACTAGGTTGCAAAAGACTACAAGGAGCTATACCTAAAAAATATGGAGCAATGATCTCACCGGGATACCACCAGCAAAACCAGCAAGATAGTATAACAGTTGTTTGGTGAACTGTTCTTGGTCTTTGTCTTCGCAAAGTTAGATCAATGGAATAATTAGTACAACAAATTCTAAAACGAAAACAACAAAACGAAAAATCGGGAAAGAGATCGTACTGGCAAGTGCATTATAAAAGTCACGGCCGAGGAAACTGAAGCCAACACTAATACCAGTGGTTCCTAAAGTAAGGGCAAAAACCGCAGCTAACTGCAATCTCGCCTGAACTTTATCATCAGAGGACCAATACGGTACAGCAACCTTCCAGAACCTTCTCATAAGTGATTGAAGATCCGGCGGCTTTCTTTGCTCATCCTGATTATTTTTAGCAATAAATCGATTTAAGGCGAGAATTTCAGATGAGGAAAAAGAAAAAAAGAGGAACCTGAATGGGTGGTGGTACTGGCGGAGTTGTTGTTGCTGCTGCTGCTGTTGTTGATAATGAAACTCGTCGTCGAGTGGTCATTGCCTGAAACCTTAAGGATGAGCGATGACTGAACTTGGAATTGTTATCGAAAGTGCTAACAATATTAGGAGAGACGTTGAAGAAAGGAGATTCTAGAACTAGTTTTGCTTGGGTCCCCATTGATGGAGGAGCTGCTCTGTTCTTCTACTTGCGCTTTTTCAGTGTTTCTTATCCAAAATACTCTTTGATTTGCGCGGTCCATATGAAATGCGCATTAAATTTTAGATATATGATTAAAACTAAAATAGCTTCACTGTAACTGACATATGTTAATGTTATGTTACATTTTCTTTCTTTGATTCTACGCTTTTTTTTAGTCATGATTTTCAAGTTATTTGCAAGCAGAATTGTTAATATGGTCTAGTCTACTCTATCAAGGTTAATTTGTATAGGCTTTGGTATTTTATAAGTCAGGTTAGGCTAGTTTATTTTTTATATGGGTCGAAAAATTGTCGGTTCAACCCACAAGTACGTGGAATACAACTTTGTCGGGCCAGTTCTTTTTTTAAAAAATTATATATATATATATAATTTAATTATTAATTTAAATTATAATTTAAAAATGTTATCATAAATATAAACAAAATAATGTTATATGATGTTAATATTACTACTTGTTAATCAAATTCACAAATAAAATTGTTTTTATAAAATATTTATTAAGTTAAGTTACCATTTTCAAAAAACAAAAAAAAAATATTAAGTTTTTTCAATTAAGTATAAATATCTAAATAGAAATATTAACTTAATTGTTTTGAGTTTTGACTCTCTTTAATTTTAAATTTAATATTATATTATATTTTTTAATTAAATTTTATTGGCCCACGGGCCGGCCCTACCGATATTTCTCAAGTCCTTCAGATCAACAGACTTATTCAGGTCAGGCTAAAAAACCTTTTCTTAAATGGGCTCCAAAAATTTTAACTCAGCCCTACTAAATTCGGATTAGGCTAGGTTGGCCCAACGAACCTAGCCCATATTGACGGCTCTATTTGTAAGTAGATTACTTTGATCCTCTATCGATATAATTATTAAAGTGGAGCACTTTTAATTCAATTAATATAATAAATTTAAAATTAATAGTGATTACTAAAAAAATTGTAAAAATTAATTCGCTTTTTTTTAAATGATAGGAAAAACTTAATTGAGCTAAAGATCGAAAAATTAAAAGTTGATAGAGCTAAATCAACTTTTTAGAAATTAAAACATTTCATTGATCAGTTTTTTGAAAAGTTTGATCAGAATTTGAACAAGATTGATCAAGTGCAATGACTTTTTTTTATTATTTCTAAGTAAAATTTGTATGGTTCAATCAATTATATTTAAAATATCACGAAATATCTAAACGATCGAACTTAGATGATTTTTTATTTTCTGTTGTTTTTGAAAGAAGAAAAAGTGAGTAAATCGAGTTAGTTTAATTTTTTTTTTAAAAAAATATTATACTAATCAAGCCGGTCGAGTATTTTCATGTTCTTTATAGTTTTGTTAATTTTTGCACCCTTTTAAGGCTCTCATTAGGTCTTATTTGACTTCATAGTCAATAAAAAAAAACTAATTTTGAAGGTTTCTCCTTTGTCATCTCTGATAAATAATGTCTGTTTTGATAATAAATACAAATCATGTAACTATTGTTTGACTCCCCATAAATAATCTTCATGGCATTATTTGAGAAAGACTCTTTTTTCATAAGTAATAATTTTTTAAGATCGTGATTCATTCTTTTGATTTCATTTGTCTTATTCATTCTCATGTTTCCTCATGCATGCTTAAGAAAAGTCTAATTTTTTGAAGATATGATTTAGCTCAATTAATTGCTTCAGGAATATATGCATTTGAATATAAGTTGCATGTATGACTTATGAATTACGTTTTGAATATGGATGTTCCTCCTTAGTTATGTGCATTTAGATAAAGTTTTATTCTTCTTAGATTATTAGTCTTTGTATTACGCTTTTCATGCTAGTTAAGTTTTCATTCATTGACGAATGCTCCAAGGGAGAGATATAGTACACCTCAAGCTTCAAAAAGGTAAAAGTGAGCTAACGAACAAGTCCACAAGCCTAAAATAGGACAAAGACCCTTCACAAGAACCTGAATGGTCCGTTTAGGGCACTATCTGTCACGACCCAAAACCGGGCCGCGACTGGCACCCACACTTACCCTCCTATGTGAGCGAACCAACCAATCTAAACCTTAACATTTCAATATAGTATCAACAGAAAGTAATGCGGAAGACTTAAACTCATTAATAAAATCAATAACTATTATTATCCCCAAAATCTGGAAGTCATCATCACAAGAACATCTACTTCAAATTACTAATCTAAGAGTATTCTAAAAAGCTAAAATAAGTAAAAGCTAGTCCATGCCGGAACTTCAAGGCATCAAGACATGAAGAGGAAGATCCAGTCCAAGCTAGAAGCGTTAGCTCACCCTGAAGATCCGATGTAGTGAAGACTGGCTAGAGTTGCGGTTGAGTTGAAGACGATGGCACGTTTGCTGCACTCCACAAATAACAAAGAAGAAAACAATAAAAGTAGGGGTCAGTACAAAATACGGGTACTGAGTAGATATCATCGGTCAACTCAAAATAGAAAACAGTATATATTAAGTAATATCATAAAATCAACTAATATCCTTAGCATGCAGCATTTACAGTTACCATAACCCTTGGTTACAACACCAAGCACATCAATAAGGACTCACACCTCCTCATCATACTCATTTGGGAATCAAGTTCATTAGATTGATTAAATTATCATCTTTCAAGATTCATTATCTTTATTTCCCCTCGTGTCGGTACGTGACACTCCGCTCCTCATATACTATTCTGGTGTCGGAACGTGACACTCAGATCCTCATTCTATCCTGGTGTCGGAACGTGACACCCGATCCATATTCTATCCTGGTACCGGAACGTGGCACCCGATCCATATACTATCCTGGTGTCGGAACGTGACACTCAGATCCTCATATTATATCCTGGTACCGGAACGTGGCACCTGATCCATATACTATCCTGGTGTCAGAACGTGACACTCCGATCCTCATATTCTATCCTGGTACCGGAACGTGGCACCCGATCCATATACTATCCTGGTGTCGGAACGTGACACCCGATCCCCTAATCTCACTACTTTCGTTCATCAAGCCTTCTTTTATACCAAGGCATCATCATTAACAAAGTAGATTAGGGTTATCTTTCAAGATTTGGGATTCAATAGCTTCATCATGCTTATTTTATCACAATCACATAATCATATTCATGCAAGCATACAATTAAGCATATAGAAGGGTTTACAATACTACCAACACATATCATTCGCTATTAAGAGTTTACTATAAGATAGCATAAAAACCATAACCTACCTCCACCGAAGATTAGAAATCAAGCAAGCCAATTCCCAAAGCTTTGTGTCCTCTTCGTTTCTCCTCTTTCTCGTTCAACTTTCTCTTTTCTTTATTCAAACCCTCTTTCTTTTACCCTAATTAGTATATAATTAAGAATAAAAGATGGCAATAATAACCCACTAATTAACTTAAGGTTACCTCTTTTAACCCCCAAGTAATTAGACTTATTAACATTATCCCACTAACTTTATAATTAAAGCAGGAATAGTCAAAAACGTCCCTTAAAACGTATAAAGAAATTCGACCCAAACTGGGATTACGCAGTCTGTGACGGCCCGTCGCGCCTGCGACGGTCCGTCCCGCTGCTCCGTCACAGACTTCAGAGACCCAATTTCTCTGAGCAGTCTGTGACGGCCTGTCGCGCCTGCGACGGTCCGTCCTGCACCTCCGTCACGACGTTCAGAGAGTCGTTCCCTGTACCAAATTCTCAAGAGTTGAAGTGTTTTGAAACGGTGGATCACGACGGTTCGTCGTGCCTGTGACGGTCCGTCCTGCAGGTCCGTCACAGAGTTCAGAGAGTCGACTTCAGCACCCAAATTTCAGAATTTCTAAGTGTTTTGGGACGAGACACCCTCGACGGTCCGTCGTACCCATGACGTTCCGTCGTGGGTTCCGTCGTCTCTGCCTGTTTTTCCAGAAATAAAATCTGCTGCTCAAAACGACTAAACAGGTCGTTACACTATTGGTTGTTTAAGGCAAGTGGATTGGCCATTTAGAGCTGTCAGGACCCACATCGCCTATACGGTTCCATAAACAACCAGTATAGAGGTGGACAAACCATTTTGGAGTCCAAGCCCAACCATTTAAGGGCTGACAAGAAGGTGGTCTCTCCTAGGCGGTTCCCTATACTGCTAATAAGGTCTTGTACGGACTATCTAATCTTTTTTTAGGTGACTTAGTCAATTTTAAAGTTAAGGTTATTTTAGTCTTTCTCCAAATTGTTTGGTACCTAAACAACCTCGTTTTAAACACTATTACATGGCCTATATAAGTGAATTAAGTCCTAAATTTACCAATTGTAAATCATTCACCTAATTAAATTCCCTTTGAGATCACCCCTAATATCCTCTCAAGAGCTAAAGAAGAAGAAGCTACAGTTTCACTTCAAGAACTACAGTTCACCATAGATTATGGAGATTCATCACTAAAGTATGTTAGTAGTCAATATGAAGTCCTTTCTCCACAGGGTTCCTAAAATTTCAAATTTCACAAATTATATATTCAATTGGCATAATATATGAATGTGCCTTTTAACTTGGCTTCAAATCACATTTATACCGTTCAACTTTGAATATACACAAATAGACACTTAAACTTGTATAAAGTTGAACAAATAGACACAAATGTCCTACATGTCATTTTTTGTCCTACATGGTACCTACGTGTATTGTGTCATGTAGGACTCATCTGTTTATTTATTTAAAAGTTGGATAGTTAAGGTGCCTATTTGTGGATTATGAAAGTTGGAGGTCAAAGTTAAAATTTGAAACCAAGTTTAGGGTCAATATATGTATTATGCCTTTTCAATTTAAAGTCAGGATTTTATTCAATCTTCGTGGTTCTTTTTAATTATGATTAATTTATTATTTTTTATATTCTTATGCATGAATTGAAGTAATTACGATTTTAAGTAGAATTGATATTACACAAGCATGGTCCGTGATTTTTAGACTATGAACACATGATGAAACTTATAAATTATGAAAGAAATTTTTATGAAGATAGGCATGTTTATGAATTTGATGTAAATAATTTGAGGATGCTTTTGAGAGCAAAGTATCAATATTTGTTGTGTAA